GTGAATGGTTCTAATGCCAGACTAAGGAGTTAGGCTTTTATATTGTAGACAGTGAAAAACCTTTGGAGAAGGTTTTTCTTGGGCAAAGGAATTAATACATGCAAATCAGCATTCAAAAAGATTAGTCTGGCCTCTATGGGCAGGTTGGATTGAAGGGAGTGTCCTAGTAGTTCCCATTAAGGGTATATTTGAATGGTAAGACTTGATCTTAATGTACTAGAAACATTTATTTATAAAATTATGAACAGAGAAGCTTTAGTAATCCACTGCCAATATGTGTTATTGATGATAGTGCATCCAGGGGTCCTCAAACTACGGCCCGCAGGCCACATGCGGCCCGCCAAAAACATTTGTTTTTTTACTTCAAAATAAGATATGTGCAGTGTGCATAGGAATTTGTTCATAGTTTTTTTTTTAAACTATAGTCCGGCCCTCCAACGGTCTGAGGGACAGTGAACTGGCCCCTGTTTAAAAAGTTTGAGGACCCCTGGTGCATACTCTGAAGAAGGTCCAGTTGGGTTAATGACTTATTCAGTTAATATTTTTTTGAAAGGAAATAACACTAGGGCTTAGCAGAGAGTGCCAGAGCATTTTTTATGTGCTGGTGGTGTTAATACTTAACAGAGTCTGGCCTAACATTGATAGAGAGTGCTTAATAAAAAAATCTTTCCAAAATTTATTTCTAAAATACTTTTATCATGTAATCAAATTTTCATTGTATCTTATTTTAATTTGATGACTAATCTAGAGAGAATTTAAATTTCACAGTAACTTCTGTTTCCCTGCCCTACATTCCCCTTTTTCTATTTCTGTGGAGTAGATTAGGCTTTTGAGAAAGAAAATGGCATTTTCTACCAGGGAAAGCCCACAAAGCTTCATGGAAGAGGGAATCTATGACTGAAGGGTTAATTATGCATTAGTGGAGAAGAGGACATTCCAGGTAGAGGGAACCATGTACAAAGAGAGATGGAAGCAGAAACTTCTGGGTGTGTTTTGGGAAAAGCAGCTGGCTGCTAGGTGGCTTCAAATATGCTATGGAAATACCACAGTGTATTGGCATCACTAGGGGGGTCATGGAAGGTACAGAGAAATTTAAGGAAAGGGAAGTTTCTTAGTTTCCAAAGATAGCTCAATGTTTAAAATCCATGTAATGGAAGAAAATATTACTTACTTGCTGCAGAAGCTCCTATTTAAAGCTAGTGTGTCGCTTTAATTTTTAAAATGAATGTGGTGCAATATTTACCATTTCACTGATGTGCCTTTTCAATAAGATCATATCACTAGACACATCTCAGACTGGAATGTTTAGTATTTGGTCCAATAAATGTACGTGGAAGGAATTACCTAACGGATTATAAAAGATGATTGGAGATGCCTCTCAGGGTTTGTTTGTTTTGTGTTTTCTGTGTGTGTTTTTTTGGCAAGAAAATGAACTAATGAACTGAAGAGAATGACTGATTTGTAAAATAGTTCATGTTTATGTTTTACATATTTACATATGTCATTTAAATATTCCATCAATAAACCATATTCTCCATGACTACTAAGATCTTCCATTCAAAATTTCTGTATAGGTTTCATTGTTCCTTTTTAAAAAATAAATTTAAAATCTTACAGGTCTAAATTTAAAAATTAAATTAATGACTACCTTCATCCCTTCCTGATTTAGAGCGACTTGTCTTTATTTTGCTATAGCATTTGACACATAAAGATGTTTCCCCAGGAGAATCTTGTTCCTGCCCAGGGCTGACATGAAAAGAAGCAATTTGTCAGACTAGTGGCTCTTGCTAACAATTCAAATAAACAACTTGTCTTTCCCTTAATACTGCATATTAATAGAAATGTTAATGATAAATGCCTCCTTTACACCCCAAGGTGGCTGAGGAGAGATTATTGGGTCAGAGACAGTTTTCTTGCTGTGGGCCCTCTTAACCACAATAGTTAGCTGCATAGTCTTATTAGTTGCATGTTTATTAGCACTATGTTTCTTAAGTAATTGTTATGCATTTAGTATAGCCAAATTGATCCTTCATGCCTCATTTTTGTTGTTGCCTAGCATATAAAATCAATTAAATTTAGAATATAGTTCTCTGTAAACATACATTTTAATAAGCAATAACTATTAAAAAAATGAGCTTCTTTGGATTGTACAACTAAGATTATTATTGTATCTTTTCCACATTTTTCTTTCTTCATTACACCACTACTACTTTGAGAGCTCCTTGAGGGAGAGCATACCTATACCTTGCCTGATGCATTTGTGCCTTTAGTACCTGCAGACACTCCATAATAAAGACTGACTTTGGTAATGGCCAATTTTGTTGCTTTATGACATTTTTGCATCATCTTCTTGAATTATTTTTAATACACAATCTTGCTGACCAATATAATTGGTCAACAGGCTCCAAAATGAAGTCACTTATGCCAGGTCCCACATCACCAGACTGAGAATTATGTTTCAGCTCTCAGACGTGGAACCTTAAACCAGTCAATAAGGAATTGCCTGATCAGCACTAGTTAGATAATCTGCCTGCTAGAGCTCTGTCATCCCCTAAGCCAGTGATGGCGAACCTATGACACGTGTGTCAGAGGTGACACGCAAACTCATTTTTTTGTTTGATTTTTCTTTGTTAAATGGCATTTAAATATATAAAATAAATATCAAAAATATAAGTCTTTGTTTTACTATGGTTGCAAATATCAAAAAATTTCTATATGTGACACGGCACCAGAGTTAAGTTAGGGTTTTTGAAAATGCTGACACGCCGAGCTCAAAAGGTTCGCCATCACTGCCCTAAGCAGTGGTTCTCAACCTTCCTAATGCCGCGACCCTTTAATACAGTTCCTCATGTTGTGGTGACCCCCAACCATAAAATTGTTTTCGTTGCTACTTCATAACTGTAATTTTGCTACTGTTATGAATTGTAATGTAAATATCTGATATGCAGGATGTATTTTCATTGTTCGCGACCCACAGGTTGAGAACCACTGCAAAGGAAAGTAACTTAGCAATAACCAACTCATTTTTTTGCCTGGTATAACTTCCTTGTTCCCACCCCCTCTGCCTATAAAAGTCTTCCTTTTGTACAGGTCCTCAGAGTTCTCTTTTACTTGCCAGATTAGATGCTACCTGATTTGAATTGATATTTGCTCAAATAAAGTCTTAAAAATTTTAATAGGCATCAGATTATTTTTTAAAGGTTACACTGGGAACCTATAGAGCAGGTCGTACACTGATGAGGGAAGGACCTGTTAATTGAGGTATGGATGGTAAGTAATGACTTGTGAGGGAAGTCTCATGAGACTTTACAGTTTTGAGGTGTTGAAAATAATGCATTTAGTTATATGGGTCAAATATTCAGGGATGTTAAATTAGCTTACTTTTAGGATAGTATAATTTATTGGTTGCTAAAAGAAATACTAGTTAGCTATTGGTTACACTATTGTGGTAACTTGAAAATAAGACTAGTGTTATTCCTAGGCTTTTTCTAAGAAAATAATAAATTTAGCTTTGGCTGATGTGGTTCAGAGGTTAGAGGGTAGGCCTGTGCACAAAAGGGTCGTGGGTTCGATTCCCAGTCAAGGGCACATACCTGGGTCAGAGGTTTGATTCCCAGCCTAGTTGGGGCATGTGGGAGGCAACTAATTGATGTGTCTCTATCACGTTGTTTCTTCCTCTCTCTCCCCCTCCATCACCTTCCGGGCCCTCCCACCCCCACTCTCTCTAAAAAAATCGATAGAAAAAATATACTCGAGTGAGAATTTTTAAAAAATAATAAAGAAAACAATACATTTATAGAAATATTTCAAATAATTAGCTGGGCTTGTTTACATACCAGCAACAGCATGTCTCGTGATACCATTTAGAAATTGAACTGTAGGTGAATTATAAAATTTCTGAGTTGTAACTGTTGTGAGTACTGAAGTGTCCATGAAATGGATGGGCAAAGGAGTAGTGTTTAGTACCTTAAGGCTTGACATTAATTGTCATTCAATAAAGAGCAATGATTCAGTGAATGAATTTCCATACACTAACTCTGGTTTGAACAAATAAACTGTCCAGGCCTCAGAACACATAATGTATTAAAGATGGCATATAGCCCTGGCCAGCTTGGCTCAGTGGATAGAGCGTCGGCCTGTGGACTGAAGGGTCATGAGTTTGATTCCAGTCAGGGGTATATGTCTGGGTTGCAGGCTCAACCCCCAATAGGGGTTGTGCAGGAGGCAGCTCATCATTGATGTTTCTGTTTCTCTCTCCCTCTCCCTTCCTCTCTGAAATCAGTAAAAATATATTTAAAAAAGAAAAAAAAAAACATGGGCACATAAAGATAAAAATACACAATATATTTTTTAAATAAGTGAACAATTACTAGTTTAGTTTAACATTGTATTTTTTCTTTGTTTTGTGGATAGCGAGCTGTGATTTTCTTTGATAACTTTGAACTTTATGTTTCAGATATGTTAAAGTGAAAGTAGAACATTCTTATTCTCCTTTTAATAGTCTACCACTTAACATATTGTTACCACCAGTAATGAAGATGAGGCAAGAAGGGCTTTTGGGTCACAATTTGAAATCTTTTTTAATTCTCTTCATTATTTTGTTTTGTCTTAGAAACATGGTAGGATAGAATCAGCAAACTTAGCTTTGATTTTACATTCTTTCAAAACTGAAAATCATCTGGCAATTTTTTTCTTTGTGTTGCTACAGAGCTAAAGTTGTTGAAAGTGTTAAAAGAATAATTCTTAATTTACTTAATTTTTTAGGATTAACCTCTTTCATGTATTTGAAAGCATAGGAAGTCTTATTCGACCAGTTTCCAGGCTTTAGAAGTTGTACTTTTCCAATTTCATTGATTTAGTGAAGGGTTAGAGTAGACAATAATGCTTAAAACCAATTTTGTAACTCACAAATGGAACCAACTTTATTTATAAATTTTCTCTTTAGATTTTTTTGCCTCTTGTGGAAACATTTATTAATTTCACTTTTTTGAAATTTCCAGATAACTTGGGTTTTTACTCCTGTAACAACTGAAATAACAAGTCTTGATACAGAGAATATAGATGACATTTTAAGTAAGTACCTTGATATTAAGTATATTTTCTGCTCTATAAAGAGTTCATTGAGATTCTATTTTGTTTTTGTGTATAATCTATCTGGAACAATTGAAGAGCTAGCATTCTGATTAATTCTGTAGTTTACTGAATTAAAGCACTGTTGGTTTCAGTTTTTAATAAACTTTCTTGAAGTGTGTTACAAGTAAAGTAAACTTGTAGTCCTGTTTTATTTCTTTGCCTTGTCATAAATACCACTCCTAACAATTCTTAAAGTATTTTCTAAAAGCCTACTTAGACGCCAGTAGTTTTCACTGTGCAGTCCTAAATGTTAATGACTTTAGGACACAGCTAAAATTTTTGTCTTTTTAAACTTTTAACTAAGTCACCTACTCTGATTTCTTTTATTGTCATTGATCCAAGTAAGTTTAATAAGTGTTTTACTGAATGCTTTGCTCCCTGACAGTGTTTTGTTAACGTTGGGGAAAACATTCTTGTTCTTAAAGGTAGTAGAGGAAAGGTGGAGATCACAACTTAGGAGATTTGAAAATCTACAATGTGTACAAATGGTTCTTTTAAGCACTCCTTTCAACCCACTGCTTTAAACAGAACAAAACCAAAAACAATAGAGGTAAAGGGGTATATTCATTGAGCATCATCATTGTTTTAAGTTCTTAGAACTGGTTTTAAATGCTAAAGTATACCCCCACTTTATGGGATCTCTTTAGAGCACTGGTTCTATACACTTTAGCATATATCAGAATCCCCTGGAGGACTTATCTGTACTATAGGCCTGACCCTCAGTTTCTGATAGAAACTGCTTGACTCCACCTAAGAATTTGCATTTCTCTAAGTTCCTGTGTGATGCTGGTGCTTCTTGGTCAGGGGACCACAGCTTGTAAACCACTGCTTTAGAGAATAAGGAAAAGGTAAAAGAGGAAGAAGGGAATTGAAACTCTCACATTCTCACTTCTTTATTCTTCCAAATTCTAGAATATCTTCGTGTTTTATTTTTGTGAGTACTTGAGGAGTTTGTGTTTGTCTGTATTAGGTTTAGGGGAAAGGAACAAATATATTTTTCTGATGTCTTCATATATGGATATGCAAGTGATACTAAGTTATTTTTGCAACAGAGAATAACTTGTGTGGAGAGGAAACAGAGTACATTTATTAGCAGCAGGTTACTTGTTGCAACTAGGTAGGGCATCAGATCTTGGTTATTCAGGTCTGTTCTATGAAATAGGATTTTACTTACAGAACTAATTCTCAGTTATTCTTAAGGTCAGAAGTGAATTATTAAAATCCAGATCATTCTACTTCACTTTTTATGAGAGCAGGCTATTTATTAGCTTACTTGCCTGATCTGGGTCTGATTCCCTTTTGTTTTATATTCATTGCATGAAAGTTTAAAGATGCAGGATATATAGAGAGAAGGAACAGGGACTCCTACAAATAATATCAATTGTCTATGACTATATGTATGGGTTTCTGAGCAAGGGGTAACTTAATTGTCATTGTGTCTTTTTAGTGGACCCTTACAGTGGAAACAGACCATGATGAAAACCACTTCTTTAATTATATTAAAATTATGCAGACACAAATAACTTAGGTTGTTTGGTTTTGTTTTTCAATTTCAGGAAATGCTGATGTTGCTTTAGTAAATTTTTATGCTGACTGGTAAGTAATCTTATTTCTGTGGTTAAACTTGGTAAAGGTGAATTTTTCTTGGTTAGAAAGGGGTTAGTGGGAAAGCCTTTCTTTTTTGTGAGATAATATTCTGTATACGAAATCAATTAAGGTTCATTCACAAATGAAGTAGCTTAATTTGGTGAGCATTTGTGTTTTAAGAGAGATGTATACCTGATTTCATTATCCTACATCTTAAAATAAAAATAGGTAACATAAAGACTCAAATCTCTCTCTTTCTCTTTCGCTCTTTCTCCCTCCCTCTCTTCCCCTTTTCCCCTCTCCGTCCCCCACACAAATTTGAGTACACATTGCAATTCTGTATTTTTCCTGATTGAGGAAGTAGGGCAGTGTTTGGAAGTGAGGATGTCGGTGTGGCAAGTTTAGAAGGAAAAATAATATTGACATTTAAAATATATACCATCTATTACTACTTCTAGGAAGCCTCCCTCCCTGTCTGAATCAGATTCTCTCTGCTATGTTCCTATAGTACTGTGTGTACCACTTTCTCTTTCTTACTACATTGTTCTGTCTTATCTTTGTGTCCTAGCAAACAAGTTTTGAGGACAGAGATAGTCTTAGTATTCCCAGCATCTAGAGGAAGAGCATAATAGGTAGTAGATGGGACAGGACGGAGTTTCAGCTAGAGAGAAGTTTGAAACACTCACATACATAATCCTTATTCCTGAACAGTCTATACCTTATTTGGCCCTCTTAGGTTAACCACCTACTAGTTAGCACTACCCTATTTCAGACCATAGCCCTGCAATTTAGCTAGATTCCTGGGACAGCCTCCTAATTTATTTTCTTTGCCTCTAGTCTTCTGTGTCTCTATTCTGTTTTCTACAAAGGAAGCCAGAGTGGCCTTTCCTGAAGTGGGAATTGGATCAGTTTACCCCATTTTAAAACCCTAAATGATTTTCTTTAAGTAGACTTAAGTCTCTTACTTGATAACCTGGTTCCTTCCTACCTCTATAGCTATTATCTCTTGCTTTCCCCACCTCTTTATTCTGTTGTAGTTATACTTAAGGTCTTTCCGTTTCTGTAATATTCTATAGTCTTCATCACTTTTAGTCATGGTATTTTCTCTGCCTGAATGGCTCACTCTTCTCTTATCTACTTATTTACCTACTTTAATTTTAATCATCTTTCATGCCTTAGATTAGATGTCACTTTCTTTAGGTCACTCTTCCTCCTCTCAGGTCAGTTTAGGGACCCTTTTTATATCTTCCCACAACACCGTCTTTACCCAACCATAACACTCGTATGCTGTAGTGTAGCTAGTAGCTCCCTACTATTGTTAGCTTTGTAAGAAGTTATCACGTCTTTTTTCACCATTAATCCCCAAGCAGTTTGCATAATACTTGGCAGATAAATATATCATTAATACTTACTGAATGAATGCTAGATAAGTGTTTAATGAACAAATGTTTAAGATATACAGAGAAAATGCCATTGATAAAATATATAATAGAGGTAGCATTTTCAAGGTAAATTAGGTAGAAGCTTATTTAGTCCATTCCCTTACGAATAAAATTAAGATCCAGAGGAACATTTTCCCAGGCTTACCTGACTAGATTGTGACAAAGTTAAAACTAGAACGTAGTTCTCTTGGTTAAGAGATTTTATGTGTTGTAAGGAAGAGATCTAGAATGTGCCACTGACCTTGTTGCAAAAACTGAATTGGAAATGTGGGCTAATTGCAGTTACTTGGGAAGACATATTATCCCCCCAATATCTCGAGTTATTCATGAATTAGTACTCTTTTCATTCAACTGAAAAAAAGTTAGGTAATTGGCTGTAGGACATAGACATATACTGTATAGCCTCAAAGGCTAGTTCTGAGTTCCCTCTGGAAGATATGCATGTGACACAGTTTAAGGAAGAATTCTATAACAGAGCTGCCTAAAAATACTGATATGCCTCAAAAGATAGTAAACCTTAGGAGGTACTTAATAATGCTGTTATGGGCCAGTCTCTTTACATACATTGGTTTTAATGCTCAGAACTACCCTGCAGGCAAGTATTTAATTTCCATTTTAGATTGAGGAAATTGAGGCTCAGAAAGGTCATATGGCTAGTAAGTGGTGGAACTGGGATATAAACTCAGGTATGTCTGACTCCAAAGCTTATTATTTTTCTTCACTAGATCATACTAGTAAGTGTCCCCAAATTTTTCCCACAAAAAGACTTCTACCCATTTGGTTGATTTGTAAAGGGTTAATTCAAGCATTAGGTTGGATTCAGATGACTCTTAGGGTCCTTTTAATAGATATATTACTTTTGTTATGTTACTTTTATAAATGTAACTTTACATGTATATGAAAGTTTAGTAATATTGCAACTGAACTTGTATTTCATCTTCCCCTTCTGCCTTCTGGTATTAAAACAGATACTTTAAATAAGAATTGTGCTTAAATGCTTACTAGGTAGCAAACTGGACAATCCAGAAAAAAGGCGTTCTTAATGTACGTTTTTATCTTGCCCTTAAGCCAGGAGCCTGTCTACTGATTCTTTACTTGGCCATAACTGACTTCTTCAAAAAACTATTAATTGCCCTGGCCGGTGTGGCTCAGCTGGTTGGACATCTTCCCATGCACCAAAAGGTCTTGGGTTCAATTCCCATTTAGGGCATGTGCCCACCAGGTTGTAGGCTCAGTCCCTGGTGGGGGGACATGTAGGAGGCAGCCAATCGATGTTTATCTCTATCTCCCTCTCCCTTCTTCTCTCTCTAAAATCAATAAAAACATATTTAAAAAACACACAATCAGTCTCTACCCCTTGTCTTCTCTTTCCTTCAGCACCCTATTTTTAGCAAACTGTAGGAACCCACAAACCTGTAGTCTTAGTCTCTCTAGTTCTTCCATTCTGTCAATTTATTCATTTAACAGACATCTATTGAAATGCTTATTAGAATATGTAGTCAAATAAGACACGGTCCCTGATGTCCACAGACCCCACCCACCTATCCCAGATGGGAGAGATTTAAGAATGCTAAAAGAGGAAAGAGCCACTTGAAAGCAAGAGATTGAAGATACAGATTTGTCTCCTTGATATATTCTAGGACATCTCCTTAGGAAGTCAGGTGAGTGGGTGAGAAGAGATATATACAAAAAGAAATAGGGAGGAAGTATAAAGTTTGCATCCTTTCACAGGCTTTATTATAATATTTTTGTTGAATTATAGTTAATATGTATGACCTGATCACATATGGATTAAAGAGTTCATAGGCTTCATTTAAGTAAATTTCTTTGGAAAGGGCTCTGGAAGCAAAGAGTAACAATTATAGGTATGTTTTTTTATTAACAAATTCTCAATACCTTTTTCATATGAGAATGACCATTCTAACCCAGCTGGTTGTACGCTGATTCTGGTTCTTTTGTCTTTCTTATCAGGTCCCTTTAATGACCCACAGCATATATTTGTGAAATGGTTTGCCTGATTAAGTCAGAATTAGAGTGTTGGGTTTCTAGAATATTGATTGTGGGGTTTGTGCCCCATTTTAAAAGTAAAAATAAAGCAAACAAAAATGACAAAGGAAAATAGACAGGAAGCCTTGTTTAGGAATTTAAGATTTTTTTTCTCCTGGACTTAGTATTTTTAACATGTTTATAGATACAAAAGCCCATTTTAGCCAGGGATAAATTTTGAGGGGACGCAGTTCATTGTATACTATATGTCCCTTTCATATAACTTATTTATATAGTATGCTAACTTGCCTCTAAAATTAGATTGAACTAGTTCTGAATTGGTCTAGAGATTTTGAACAGTAGTCTAAAAGTATGTTCATTATTTAGAGGAAACTAATTTCTTTTATAAATGTCTAAATCTTTGTAGTTGCAAGTGCCAGTAGATATATCTTAGAGGGTGTATTTCAGGCTTGTTTCATGGCCTTTATGTGAGAGCTTTAGCTGTGTGTTCCATAATATTGGCCATTTTCCTAAGGTGAAAAGATAAACCAAAATATTTTAGTTACTTGGACAATCTTTGAATAAAAAGTTGTCTTCATCTCCAATGAATGACATCAGGATTCATCCCTAAATTAATTCATCCCTAATTCAGGATTGTATGAAAAGCTATTTATTGTATATATGCTAAATATCAATGGATAATAGCTGAAATAAAATTTTATTGAGTCTACTTTTCAGTTTTAATTGGTATCCTTCTCTGCATAGGTGTCGTTTCAGCCAGATGTTGCATCCAATTTTTGAGGAAGCTTCCAATGTGATTAAGGAAGAATATCCAAGTGAAAATCAAGTAGTGTTTGCCAGAGTTGATTGTGATCAGCACTGTAAGTACCTCAGTAGGAAGTCTGGAAGAAACTGTCTCATCCCCACCTCTCCTTACACACACACTTCTTTTTCAAAAATGCTCTGCTTCAAGTGACCTTGCTCAAAATGTTAATAGTTACTTTTTTTATTCTTATAACACTACTTTCCATTTTGTCTGCGTGAAGGGTTTAAAAAATTTATTTTGTTTTTTCATCAAAATATAATAGGGCAAGCATATAGATAATTAACTTGTATGTGGTATTATTGTTTCTATTCTTGTTTCTATTCTTGTTTCTGTACTGTGTGGCCCAGCTCTCTACTAAGGTAGAATCTTTTGTTGTAGAATCAGAAGCTCCCTACTTACTGTCATATGGAGTTGGGCAAGTTACTTAAAAAAAAAAAAATCCCTCAATTTGTTTCAGCACTTGCCATAAAAAGTGTGTGTGTGTGTGTGTAGCAAGAAAGAGAAATATGGTAACTAAATATTGTAAAATGTTAAATTTAGGTGAGGGTATTTTTTATCTTTTCTGATAGTGCAGTGAACCAAACTCTATAAGTTTGAATATTTGCAAAATAGAGAGTTGTTATAAAAAGAAATCACTGAACCTGTAATTTGTCATTGGTTAAGAAAAGAGGCAGAAGGGAGGGAGGCCTTGTTGCTCTAGAGATTTTGAGAAGGTGTGTGTGTGTGTGTGTGTGAAAGAAGCTTCACATCTGTATTGTACAGGTGTACTGTGATGTTGTTAATTGTAGTTTCTGCTGAGTTTCACTATGATAAAGGCCTTCAGCAGTCATTGAGTTTAAAATTTTCTTGAATGGACTTTTACTGGCGTTTTGAGGAATACTTAGAGCCACTCTATAGCTTTTGGAAACTGACCAGAGTTCTATCAGTTTTTCAGTGAAAACCTCCCATGAGCCATGGTAATTGAGGCCATTTTGTTGCTTATGAAATCGCCCACTTTCATATATAAAAATGTGTAATGGGACTAATTTTCATAAAACATTCCAAGTGAGTATTTTTAAGGTAGTTCCAGTGGTTGGCAATGCATGGACTCATTCCTTAGAACGTGTTGGGAATCCTTCTGAAGTCCTCTGTGCCAGTTTACTAGTTTATCAGGAAACCCCATGTGAGTACATAATTATAGGAAACGCTTCTTTGATTTGCTGCCTGCATTTCTTCCTGTCTAGCAGCATTCAATGGAGTGCTTTCTGCCTTACCTTGACCTTACTTTATATGCCTTTCCTAGGACTTTTTTTGTTGAAAGGTAAAGGTAAATAGGCTGAGAACTTAGAACTGGGGTAGGAAAGAAAGCAAGAGGGATATAACAGGCTGATTTTACCTAGTCAGCCCTTTTGCTTCTGTGTATGAGCTGGATGTAGCCACTTTAATTCCCTCCCCCACCACCTTGCCACCTCACTGCACCTCCCAAAAAAAGTTGGGAAATGTAGAAAGAGAATTTTGAACTCAGACTGATGCTGGAGTGTCATCAGGAATGGTGCCTAGCACGTAGTAGTATTTCAATAATAGTTGTTGAATAAATGGATGGATAAATGAGTAATAAATACTAGCCAGCATATATGAACTGTTCGTTTTGTAGATACTACATTTAGTACTTTAAGTAGATTATTTCATTATCTTCCAACAGTACAATAAAGTATTCCTGCAATATTTTGTCAAATCTAAATTGTCAGGAATTATAAGTCACACTTTTACCTATAACTGGAAAAAAAAACACCCAAAATTACAACACAATACTTTATCACTTAGAATTTTTATATCTGTTATAAGAACTATTTTAGACTTACTTAGATACAAACTTTTTATCATATTATTGTATGATAATAATATGGAAAGTAAGTTTGTTCCTAAAAAAGAAAGTAATTTTGTTCAAGTAATCCTGAAACAATTTTACATTCGAAATCTTACTCTTGTGTATCCCTTTCCAATTCGGAGTTACTGATTTTTGTGTTTTTCTATACAACTAGAGGCCCGGTGCACGAAATTCATGCGCTCCTGGGGTGGGGTGGGGGGGTCCCTCAGCCCGGTCTGTGCCCTCTCGTAGTCCGGGAGCCATCAGTTGGACATCCTTGGCGCTACTGCGGAGGTGAGAGAGGCTCCCGCCACCACCGCTGCACTTGCCAGCCATGAGCCCGGCTTCTGGCTGAGCAGCACTCCCCCTGTGGGAGTGCACTGACCACCAGGGGTTAGCTTCTGCATTGAGCGTCTGCCCTCTGGTGGTCAGTGCACATCATAGTGACCGGCCATTCAGTTGATTTGCATATTAACCTTTTATTATATAGGATAGCAGCTTCTGTGCCATTAAGAGTGTTGGTAATACCCTTGATTAAAGAATGTTACTCTTTCTAGGATTTTCTTCCAACCTGCTGATACCCATTCTGCAAGTATCAATGCTGGCATTTTATTATTTGACTAATCTCAGCTTATTACTTTCTCAATTGAAAGGTCACTGCTGGTTAAGCAACTTTTATTCAAAGTTAGCAAAATATAACCAAAACATTAATAGTCATTTTCCCCAATGGTGGTTGTATTACAAATGCTTCTTCTTTTCTTCTTTGTAATTGTCTTTGTTTTCCAAAATTTCTACATATGCACACAGTTAAAACTTACCCTTGCTTCAGCTGTGGATCATCTCACTTTATCTCATCTTCTTCAGGCTTCTCATTTGGGGAGTTTGGGAGAATTCATCCCTAACGGTGGTCATGCTGCTTTAAGTGCAGCTAGTCCCATCATCTGCCCCTGGTGAGACTGGGTTCTCTGCTGACCTCCAGTGGCTATAGGCTGTATGGCAAGGGACATTCAGAAATGATTTGCTGGTCAGTGCAGAAATCCTATCATTTTTAGGAGAGTAGTTTGTAATTTTCCTTGAATTAGGCAAGATTTTGCTCCCAAATATCCAAGTTACTCTTCCCTGTCTTCTTTCCAGCACTACCTTTAACCTTCCACATTGCAAATTGAGAAGCTTTATAAGAGCTATGCATAAATGAGGCATTAAGACATAACATAATTATAGACAACAATATTGTGTTAAAAACATCAAACTTGCCCTAGCTGGTCTGGTTCATTGGACAGAGCATCGGCCTACGGACTGAAGGGTCCCAGGTTCGATTCCAGTCAAGGGCACATGGCCGGGTTGTGAGCTTGATCCCCAGTAGAGGGCGTGCAGGAGGCTGCCAATCAATGATTCTCTCCCATCATTGATGTTTCTATCTCTCTCCCTCTCCCTTCCTCTCTGAAATCAATAAAAATTTAAAACACACACATCAAACTTGCTAAGAGACTGGATCTTAATTATTCCCACCACAAAAGAAGAAATTTCAGTTATGTATCAAACCAATATGTTTTACACATAAACTTGCAGTGTTATATGTTAAATATATTTCAATAGAATAAGTTTTAAAAAAGAATAAGAAAAGATATGGTAAAGAATTCATGTGCATAAAACAGAACTTGGATGTGTAGACTTGAGTCCTGAATAAGCATCTAGGCCAGGGGTGGGCAAACTTTTTGACTCGAGGGCCACAATGGGTTCTTAAACTGGACCAGAGGGCCGGAACAAAAGCATGGATGGAGTGTTTGTGTGAACTGATTTTTTAGTTTTATTCATTTTAAACGGGCCGGATCCGGCCCGTGGGCCGTAGTTTGCCCACGGCTGATCTAGGCTTTCTCTATATTTTCGTTTAGGGTTTATTTTGTTGTTGTGTTTTTATTTTTGTTTTTTTTCCTCATTGAGGGGAAGGCATGACTTGGGAGTGAGAAACGATACATAGGTAGCAATGGTCCTCATCCTGGAATCACAAAAACATAAGCCCTATCTGTTGAAACCTCTTGCCTCTTTGTACTGTCTGCCATGGATAATCATGGCCGGGTGGACACTGCTGAGACAGAGCTTGAGGCAGTTTCCCCGTTTGGACCCTGCTGGGCATGGCTGAGGTAGGCAGGCAGGCAGAACCCATCAAGGAGAATAAGTGACCATTGAAGCAAAAGTACATGCTAATTTTCCAATCAGCAAGCTATTAACCTTCTGTAATTTCAATTCTTTTGACATCCATTTTAACATTTGATCTATCCAGTTAATAAAAATATTATTATACCCCTTAAGTCATTCTTTGTTATATTGTTAAAATGTCACACTGTAATTATTTTAAAATCACCTTTGACCAAAGCTTGTAAGAAGTCGCCTTTATGTATGAGATTATTGATCAATGTAATTTTAAGGCTATTGCTTTTTAATAATTAACAGCCACATAATTGTGCAGCACACCTGCTGTACGTGTCGTTTGAGGATTAAGCAAGCCTCTGCTCCCCTGTTTTCAAATGTTATTTAATCTTTTTCTATCCGTAAGTAGAATTTTAAGACAACCTAAAGGTTGCTGTGTTAAGTTTGTAGACAGACTTCTTGTTACTTCTGCCAGGACCATTGCAGTAGCTTCCTTACTAGTCTCCCTCTATAGTTCTTTCTACCATCAAATCTCCTAGAAAATTAAGGTGGTCAGCAGAAATGTTTTTGCCATTCTGATTGTTGTGTTTTGTTTCTGTTTTACAACTACTAGAAATGAAGGCAGGTTAGACAATTTTCCTGGTGTTTTGTGTCACCATTTTAGAATTTTGCTTTCATTTTTGCTCAGTTAAGAAAAAGAATTTCACCCGTTTTAGACCACTTCAGTGCTCTCCCAGGTCACCTTTATTCTAAAAATTCAATGCATCTTTTATCATTTTCATATATGACATAAGGCATCTTAGTAATTGTGATTCCTAAAAAAATGACATCAGCATACATCTGGATTTAAGTTCTTATTTTGAGACTATAAACAGGTTTTAATGACACAGGAAAAGAATTTTCATTTCCTGAGATTATATCTATAGGTCATAATAAAAGGTTTATTATTTTGTGTCTCTGTGTGTATACTGCTGAGTTTTGGATTTTATTGTATTAGTTTACATAAAATTTGCATATTTTCAAAATTGACATTTTGTGCATTCTAATTCCTTTTTGGAATATATTTATGATAATGTTTACTAACAGTTATTTAAAGTTTACTGTGTCATGCACTTGTATTATCTTATTTAGTCCTTAAAACAATCCTGTGTGGTAGAAATTATTGTTCTTACTTAACAGATGAGAAACTAAGGCATAGATAGTTGATTTGAGTTACAAGTTAAAGAGCCAGTAAATAGCAAATGTGGGATTTAAACCAGGTAACACATGTCCAGATCTTGCCTTCTTAACCAGTACAAACGCATCATGATTAATATTTTTTCTCTAACACTGAAAAATAACTATTGAACCAAAATGTCTTCACTAAGTCACTGTAAGAATTTAGACTGTTTGGCTAATGGACTTACCCAGATCAAGTATGAGAGTGAAGTTAATTTTTTTTCTTTTCATTCTTTTAGCTGAAATAGCCCAGAGATATAGGATAAGCAAATACCCAACCCTCAAATTGTTTCGTAATGGGATGATGATGAAGAGAGAGTACAGGGGTCAGCGGTCAGTGAAAGCACTTGCAGATTACATCAGGCAACAAAAAAGTGACCCCGTTCAAGAACTGCATGACTTAGTAGAAATCACCACTCTTGATGTAAGTGGTTAATTTTTGCTGGATCAAATGAACATTGCTTTGTTTAAATAATGTAAACAAATTCTTATGCAATCAAGGAATCTGTATATTTTCTTATAGTTAATTGCAATGGATTTGACATATATATACTTTTAGCAAATTGAGTTTTTCTTCAATTGTTTCTCAAGGGAAATGCTAATGTTTTATTGACCCTTTGGGTAAAATGTATAGCATACAGTAAAATTGCACTAATTTGAATTATTGAGGTCAAAGGGTAGCCTGAATTATGAAGAAATAGATGCTAATGGCAGGCCTACACAACCAAATTTCCATGTGTTCCTTGGTGGAGATCCTCCAGGTGTCTGCTCTGATTACTCCCATATCAGCTCTTTGATATGTGTTTTAGTGTCCTGTAAAACAGCCCCCTTTAATAATAAGCTTAGCAAACCCTTTTCTTTGTACACTAAGTTGTGTTTAATAAAATAAAAACAATTGCGTTTGGGCTTTAGATTGTCATTGTCAGGTTTGAGATTTTATTTGTATCCTACTTACAAGCTAATATGTTAAGCAGTTGTAGTTTCATGGATGACAAAGATATAAGGCTTATGGGTCAGTAACAAAGGGCTTTATTGCTCGCATTACAGCCACCAGTGTGAACATGTTTGCATTTGTTTCTTCGACCCCCAAGTCTTATGGAAGTGACACAGAGGGTCCAGTTAGATGCCTATGTGTACAGTGAGTTGTGTTATAGGAGAACTCTGGGCTCCGGAAACACCCATGTTGGTGCTAGTAAGAAGCCTGCTGCTCTCTGTCCCGGAGGGAAACATTACCTCATACCTCAGTGTTGCTAGCTGCAAACACAACCCTTAGAAATGGTCCTGGTGAAGAGTGGTTGGAGTTTTGCAGTTTGTAGCAGTGTGAGAGACCCATGGGGGAGTCTCTACCTACAGTCAGTCACACGTTATGAATTGATGTACTAGTTTAAAATACTTTAGAATTAGTCACTTTAATTAGGAAAAGACTGTCATATAATTATCTATTTATTGAAATTTTAACATAAAATGCTAGAAGGAAATGTTCATATTTACATTAGACTATAGTTAAGATTGCTTTCAAACCAATGTAATCTTTAATAGTTTTGGACTAGGTGTTAAGTCAAATGTGTATTTATAGTCATACTTCATTTGGAGATAATTGAACAAGCTGGGTAAATGAAATAACATGTTTATAGAACTGCATATGTTTGTAAAATAATTACATTATTTTACAGCGCAGCAAAAGAAATATTATTGGCTATTTTGAGCAAATGGATTCAGAACACTATAGAGTTTTTCAAAAAGTAGCGAATATTTTGCACGATGATTGTGCCTTCTTTTCTGCATTTGGGTAAGTATGTTGGTTGAGAGTGTGTCAATTTGGCTGAGATGTTAAAAGTAAAAAGTAGAAAATTCATGGATGAGTCTGACTTACAAGCAAATAATGTGTTTCTTGATTGGTCTACGGGACCACATCAATGACCTTGACCCCAGTTAGTGGTTACAGTGTAGGTTTAAAAATAGCATTTTAGTGCTAAAACTACCAATCCGAACTTATAAAATACTGAGTCACAAAAGCAGGAAACTAAAATTTCCCTTTAAAAAATCTGCCTTGCGCTAAATTTTTGTTCAGTAAATTTTAAAAATATATGTTTTAGTTGTTTAGTGCATAGTCATAAGTAGGAAAGATGATGGATAAGTATATGTTTCAAATAGATAATTCATACATTGCAAAACAGCTAACTAATTCTTCTTCATTCAGGTGTATTACTGCTATTATTTTTCTTAAAACTTATTAGTACTACTTCTCTCTTCCTATTAGGACTGTTTCAAAACCAGAAAGATACAGTGGAGACAGTATAATCTACAAACCACCAGGGGTAAGTTGCTTTTTTGTAGTATAATTTTAAATATAAATTAAATTCTTAAATTGTTTGTCATTGCAGTTTTTCACACATAACAAAAAATAGAATCTATATTTTTCAAATTTATAATTTTCATTTTAATGTTTGCAGTGTTTTGACACACTGAAGTTTTTAATGTTTATGTAGTCACGTGAATGAGGTTTTTATTTAGAAAACTCATTTCTTATTCTGAATTCAGATAAGTCTTTGCCTCTATTGTTTTGCAAGGGCATGACTTTAGGAGTAGCTTACATAGTGTGCCCTTCTCTAGACGCCAGTAGAGTGTCTCACCGTGTGGTTTGGTTGTAAAGAGCGTGGGCTCTGGAGTGAGGCTGAGTTGTAATGTCAGATCTTCCACTTGCCTAGGAGTATAACTCTGGGGAAGTTTCTTAGTTTCTCTGTGTTTCAGTTCATTAGTAAAAGCAGCCATCATAATAATGGTCCTGCTTTAGGGGATACTTCAGGGATTAAATGAGTCAACATATTTAAGGCACAGTAAACCCTCCATTTTGCAGACCTTGATTTAACGGACAAAAATTCTGATCCGTATCTCCTTATGTGAAAGTTAATACCCTGTTAATTTAAAAATGCTTTTAACCAAGATTTGCTTATAATTAAATTAACAGGGTTTTTTAATTGTTGTTATTAATTCACTGTTATTTTTAACAAATTTTAGTGAATAAGCCATATGTTAGAAGAAACACTGTAGTAATTTCACTGACATGAATATTATATATCTACAACTGTAGTTTACATATTTAAATCCAAAAGTCACCTCTCGTAAACATTAGCACATGCTCACACTGCATCGCACTTGGTAATTGGTTCTGTTTTCACCTGACGTGACTTTCTGCAGCAGTTTTACAAGTGCTGGCCAGTGTCCCACCGTGCATTAAGCCACACCCCAGCTGTGCGCATTTATTTACTCGCAGTGACTGGCAAATGTTAGCATTTACTAGACCAATTCAGTATAAATTTAAAATTACAGTAATACATATAGAAAACTTTTCTGTGAAATTAAACTTTCCATACATACTTAATTTTAAATACACAAACGTGTCTACATAAGTAAGAACACATAACTAATTTGTCAGTGCTTTAACATACCCATTCGGAAAACCTACTTTATTGTATAATGGACTTCCAGCTTTAACAGATAGCCCTTTGCCTGAAGTTGTTATATCAAGGTTTTACTGTGCTCACAACAGTGTTTGGACATGGCAAGTTTACTCAGATAATGTTGGCTGTTATTCTTACCATCATTTTAGGTACGTCATAAATATTGATTTTGAGTCTATATGGAAGTAGATACTATAGATCAGGGGTCCTCAAACTACGGCCCGTGGGCCACATGCGGCCCGCCGAAAACATTTGTTTTTTTACTTCAAAATAAGATATGTGCAGTGTGCATAAGAATTTGTTCATAGTTTTTTTTTAAACTATAGTCCGGCCCTCCAACGGTCTGAGGAACAGTGAACTGGCCCCCTGTTTAAAAAGTTTGAGGACCTCTGCAGTGTAGATAATAAATATTAGAGATAGCCATGCCTTAGATTTACATAGTCTTGTATTTTTCACTGGAAGTCTCCAGATTTTCTTCTAATATCTTCAACTCTAAGGATAGATGACTTAATTTTTTTAATAACTTTTTTTCACAATGCCTGCCTGCCATTGGTGAAGGTACTGATAAACAGTTAATTAGCCCAAATCCAAGGAAAAGCAGAAGGCTTAGGGATCACAGGGTGAATAATCACAATATTATCAGCTTTTTATTATTTATAGTCCTCTTTCTCAGAAGTTTCATGTTTTTTGCTTTTGTATCCCTTATTGATTTTCTGGGCTCATATAGACGGCTCTAGGATGCATTTTTGCTAACACAGGTTAGATTTGTTTAATACAGTATTTTTCTCTGTTTTTGTAACAGCATTCTGCTCCAGATATGGTATACTTGGGCTCTATGACAAACTTTGATGGGATTTACAATTGGATTCAAGATAAATGCGTTCCTCTTGTTCGAGAAATAACATTTGAAAATGGAGAGGTATGGGCTTTCTAATGTCGGTTATTATTTTTAATTTTTTAATTCAGATTTCTGAAAAAGCAAACTTTGTCCACTCTTACTATTTTATCACATACTTAACCTTTAATAAAAATCATACAGTCAAACATAATGACATCATAACTATTTCTGTAATACAGGCCAGTGGCTTTCACCCGGGCCATCCCAGGACTCCTCTGTTGCATTTCCTGCAATGTCAGTGGGTCATTACAGTCTTGAAAATGCCTCGGGATTCTGATAACCACCCCTGTTGGAAGATTCTTGTTTAGGGGGTGTCCTTTAGAAGCATAGTTACAATCAGTTATTTAGTGTGAATAATTCTTTGCCATCTAAAGGTTGTTCTGATTGCTTTCTATCCTAAAAGAATGAAGTCATGAAAAGCAATGATCAGTTATCATGTAATTGACCTCAGTGATTCCATGTGTCTGAAATAAAGCAAACTTACGAAAACAAAACACAAAAGTCAGAGATCAAGGAGCATGTACAAGGGGCTAGGTCTGTGAGATGCCTCTTTCTATTCTTCACTATGTTCAAAATATATTTTTCTTTTAATTTCACTCCATGTTTAAAATCCAATCTAATCAATTTTTAGAAAACATTATCACATAGTAAACACACCCACCTAATCACCATTTAGTCAGAAGATGGCAATTCTATAAAGGAATCGGATGTTAAGTATTTTAAGTTTGCAGTTCATACAGTTTCTGTCGAAACAACTCAACTTCACAGTGTGGCACAAACGCAGCCTCACCCAATGCATAAATGTGTGGTTGTGATCCATTAAAGCTTGCTTGCTTGTGTTCTTTCTTAGCTTATTTATCAAATGAACATCGCTGCTACTTTTCTTAGTTCTCTAGGCTTCAGGTATGCTTGGTTGAATTACATACATTTTTATTGTGTTAGCTCAGTTAGTCCTCAGAGGCTCAGAAAGATTTAGTAACTTGTCACAATTATTCACCTGCTTTGGCAGGAATACTTTGAAAAGTAGAGTTTAAAGGTATAGACTGGAAAAATCTTAAATAGTAATACAGGAGTTCCAACTACCCCTCAATCATTTCCAGGGTGGGGAACCTTTTTTCTGCCAAGGGCCATTTGGATATTTATAACATCATTCGCTTAATATAATTCACTTAATATAAATTTATGTTGCTATGGAAAAAGCTCCTAGATTTATTGAAATTCAAATTCCGCCTGCGATTGCCTTGGCAGGGCCAGCCCAAATGCTTTCTCAGGCCTTATACAGCCCGGGCCAGACGTTCCCCACACCTGACAGTGGGGAAATGTCTGAACCTGGTTGTTTTGCTGTCTCGCTCCTGAGTCTTTTAATGCCTGCTCTGGAGAGAATATGTTGATGTGGATACAGGAAACTTAAAAATCCAAGCAGCATAAACTACCAACTGCTATGTTAATGTATGTAAATTAGTTTAGCAAAAAGATTTTTTTTTCAAACTATTAATCTACTTATTACTTTTCTCCTAATAGTTGTTAGTTCATCCATACTTTGGTTTAATAAAGTAATACTAGTATGTTATATTTGTTTTTACGTTTAACTTTCTAGCTCTTACGTTTTCTAAAAGGTGACTTTTGAGTCTCCTTTCCCAATTATATTTATTCAGAAACATTTGTGTCCTCATGTCATAGGTTGATTGCGCATTATTGCATATAAAAATCTATGAGCAAAAGAGAAGTGAAATAAGATTCTCTGTGTTTAAGGGGTTCAGTCTGGTGGTTCACTTATATAGATAATGTAATATAAAGACATGTCCCAGGCCACCTGAGGGGCACTGGGAAAATGTTCTGGGAATTCAGAGGAGAGAATTCATTTCCACTTTGGGCAGAAGTGGGGCAGAATCAGGGATGGTTTTCTAGACAAGGCTTCCTTCAGTCCTGAAAGAAAAGGGCTAAAGGAGGAGCAGAAATACTAATGGAAATAGGGAAGTGAAAGTGTATTAATATTGAGTGCTGAAGGTTGGTTAGACGTTGTAATGGAGATATTACACAGGAAGTTGGCAATCTAGACTTGGATTCTGAACTGGAACTGGGCATGGAGAGAGAGAGAAAAGGGACCAATGAGAAGTGCTGATTGGGATTGTTGAACTAGTCGAAATTGCCAAGCTAGAGCAGAGAAGTCCAAAGACAGACCATGGGGAAAAGTAGCAATGCGTGAGAGAAAGAAAACTGAGCCCAAGAGATAAAGAGTGGGGAAGAGGAAACTTTAAATCAACGTAACAGAAGATCAGTGTGATGCCAGGAGTCAAGGAGGAGAGATGGGAGTGTGACTGCTAATGAGTATGGGGTTCCTTTCTGGAGTGATGAAAATGATGTGGAATTAGGTAGTGTTGATGTTTGCAGACCTTGTAAATATAATAAAACCCACCAGTTTGAACACATTAAAATGGTGAATTTGGTGGCATGCGAGTTACATCTCAGTTTTTAAAAAAGTAAATGTGATAAGAAACTTTATACTTTATTCTGTACATGAGTGTAACAGGCTTAAACATGGAACTAGGAACCAGGAGAAAACTCTTGTCCTATAAGATGGGTTCCAGATTCAGTTTTTATAAAGTATAGGACATTTGAGCTTTCTGCTGAGGCAGTTTCTAAATTACAGAGAGACGCACAAAAGGATAGTTGATGGAAATAATTTTATTAGGCCATTCTGAACTTATCCTTATGAGTCAGAACTTAGCATTTGTTAGAGAGAATAAATGTTTAAAATCTGTCATCACGCCCTGACCGGTAGGCTCAGTGGATAGAGCGTTGGCCTGCGGACTCAAGGGTCCCGGGTTCGATTCCAGTCAGGGGCATGTACCTGGGTTGCGGGCACATCCCCAGTGGGGGGTGTGCAGGAGGCAGCTGATCGATGTTTCTCTCTCATCGGTGATTCTAGCTCCCTATCCCCCTCCCTTCCTCTCTGTAAAAAATCAATAAAATATATTTTAAAAAATCTGTCATCACATTTCTCATATTATTCTCCAATAACAATGAAAAATTTAAAGCACTTTATAATTTTCAAGACGCTTTTGTGTATGTATATCCACAAGGTATATAAACACACACATATATAGTGGTGGGTATTTTTTAATGTTGAAAATTGTGTATTGGTTGAAAACTGGCTATGTTATGGGAGTTTGTTATTTGCTCTGAATCAAACACTTTTCAGCTCGTCTAAGTTTTTGCGTACACCTTAAAATGAACATAAGTGTGCAAAATAAGATTTATTTACTGCTGGTACATTCAGTTTTTCAGTGTTATCTGTGAAGACAGTTTACCCCACCCTAAAATCTGTAGGGGAAAACATGTCTACTCCACCCTAAAATTAACATCTTGATAAAGAACCAGCAGTTTCTCCCTTGGTCAACTCATTTATCAAATGCCATGGCTTCACCCAATTCTAGCTAACAGCCCAGCCCAGTGGTTACTTTAAGGCAAGTCAATTTCTGCAGGCAAGCAGGATGAGTGGGTGAGTCCTCTGAGTGCCGGGGTACTTCAGGTATAGGAAATGTCTTTGGACTTCTCCATTAAGGCTAATGTTTATTTACACCTTTGGGCCTTATTTTTTTCCTGGGATGTTGCAATTGTTGCATGTTGGGTTGAGTTCTAAATTGTTCCTACTTAGAAAACAGCTACAAGTGGAGAGGCCTGATAATTCTCATTAAATACTTCTCTACACAGGAATTGACAGAAGAAGGACTGCCTTTTCTAATACTCTTCCACATGAAAGAAGATACAGAAAGTTTAGAAATATTCCAGAATGAAGTAGCCCGACAGTTAATAAGTGAAAAAGGTAGACAGATGAAGGTGTTTATTTTCATCTTTTCTCTTGGTTTCTTTCTCCCCAACCCCTCTCCCATTATAGCCTCAGAATTTACATGTAAACATTGGGTGGGAGGTGTAGTAGAGAGAGTATACGAAGCAGTGGCTTTTTAAAATAAACCATGGCTGTTTTAGCTCCCTAAATCAAATAGCTTGGAAAGTGGGGTCATAGGTGGACACCGTCAGTTTTAGGCACTTGCTTTTAGCACATTGATACTTGCCTGGTCCCTTCCTAATAGACAGTCTCAGATATATTGCTGAGATAACTTACAGAATCTGGTTAATGTTTATTTCTAAATGAAAGAAAGTGCATTCTCTGTGGACTTCTCCAAAGCCGCAAAAACAATTTGAGATATGACCAACTTTCCCTTTGTAGTTAGAGAAGAAAATCAAGCATAATAAACTGAAGGCATTGTATAGAGCTATACCCTTATTAGTGACTTAGTAAATATTTTGGGGGTTGAATTAGATTGAAAATCAACCAGTAGGGACCAGAAGGGCTCCTTGATGAAATGAAGATGGCCTGGGGAAGACAGTTTATATGTCAGTTTCAGGAACTTGCTCTCCAGACCTGGGTAATCTGCAGTGGGTAATCTGCAGAGCAGAGGAGCATCCATGCAAGAAAATTCACTATAAAAATTCACTATAGCATTTGAATTCAGGTTGAGTTCAGATAATTTATGAGAAAATTATACTCTCTGCCCTAAGAGCTCAAATCCTACCTCCTTTCAGTGTTGAAATATTTAGGTTTTAGTTTTTGTGATCTATATTACTCTAAAGCATTTTGGTGTTTTTTTAGTATGTTACTTTTTATGAACTTGCAATGTTATGAGAATACAATTAAGAAAATTCTGATCTATCTTTTCCGATTCTTTTTCTTCTAAAGGTGCAATAAACTTCTTACACGCGGACTGTGACAAATTTAGACATCCTCTTCTGCACATACAGAAAACCCCAGCAGATTGCCCCGTAATAGCTATTGACAGTTTTCGGCATATGTATGTGTTTGAAAACTTCAAGGATATATTGTAAGTATTCATTTTGTTGTTGTTTTTTAATTATTGATATATGTCTCAAAAATGAACTGAAAACAATTGTTTGGATATTTTAAATCTTATGATGGAACACTAATCTATTATTTGGATAGAAAAAGTGCTATTTTTTTTTCACTCTGAAATGTGGTATAATAATTGATTATAAGAATTAGGATATATCCCTATCAAAGGGCCAGCATTAGGTGATCCTAATCTCTGAAAGAAAATTTTTGAGAAATTAGTTCTGATTGAGTTTGGTCTTTGCACATCAAGGTAAGCAGAATATAATTCTAGGTCAGGTTAAAGGAAATTGGTAATATTGCTGCTTATGTGTGACCGTGTCTAGCAAGCATACTAGAGGTACTTAAGACCCAGAAGATGGCTATGACTAGGCATTTCTAAGAGCATAAAGCTATCAACTTTTGAAAGAACAGAGAAGCTTTCTGACTCTTCTCAGCTATTTCTTGTATTAATAAACATAAATCTTGTAACTACCACAGATATTAAATTTTTATCAATTTCTGAGATTTAAATACAATGGTAAAAGTGGAGATGTTTCTTCATATATGAAAAATTTAAGCAATACTATGGTATTAATTCAAATTAGATCTTTTAAAATTCATTTACCTTTTTATGTCCAAAGATTAAATTGCACATTTAGAGGATGATTTGCAGTCCTATTTCAGAGTGAATTATCTTGCTCACTTCTACATATTTCAATAGAGATGTGGTTGTTTGATAGATGAGTCTCAGTCCTAACATGTAGGAAGCCCAGAATTGAGTCCTGCCTTTGGCAAGTCAGTTAACTCCATCTTGTTTCTTTACACTTAAAATATGGTTGATGGTACAACCTACCCAATGAGATTGTTACAAAAATTAATGTGTTCTAAGCCATAAAGTACTAACAAACATTAGTTGTTTTTACTTTACGTATATTCAAAAGAATACCATTTAGCCTATTAACTCATTAAATATCCAGGTCTTCTGTATGGCAGTCAATTTATAACATAAACCAATCTTTTAGTTTACTAAGACTAGATCCCTGCCCTCAAAGAATTCCCAATGAAGTAGAGAAAGGAAACAAGTAGGGTAACAAGTAGTTGTCTTATGATGTGATAAGTACTCTGACAGAGTTCAACAGAGAGGTACCTGTTCTAAGATTTCTGGAGATGTTAATGCCTAAGGTAAGTCCTACAGGTCTATAGACGTTTAACATGGAGGTAAGAAGGAATCAGGCTTGGAGAAAGGGCACATTGGTAGAAACAAGTAGAGAGTCTGTTGGCTGAATGTGAGTGGAGGGAGGAGGAAGGACCAGGTCAAGGGAAATAAGCAGGGGCTAGCTTCTGAAAGCCCTTATAAGCTGTACTATGGAAGTTGACATTGTCTTAAAAACTATGAGGAGCCATTGAAGGGTTTTAATTAGGGGATTATTTTTTAAAGAGTATTCAGGATGCAAACTGGAAAATAGGTTAGAGGGGGTCAAAGTAGAATCTAGGAGAGACTGTTTAGTAATCCAGGACAGTTGATGATAACCAGTAGGTGATTCTTGAGTGAATGAATTACCTAAATAAATTCTGTCAGTAGCATTAAAACTAGAGAGACATTTTGTAGGTGGAATAGGAAGACTTGGTATATTAGTAAATGGGGGAGGGGAGGCCAGCCCTAATGGCCAGGAATCTAACTTAGACAGCTAATTGGGTTGTGTTGCCATTTAACTGAGCTTGGGAATTCAGTGGAGGAGCACCTTGTGGTAAAGGTAATGAGTTCCTTTTCTTGGTATATTGAATTTGAGGTGCCTGTGGGCTACAGAGAGTATCCAGTAGGGAGTTTACATGGCTCTGGGATTCAACAGTGAGTTGAGATAAGGGCTGGGTCTTGAACACATGAGGATATAGCGAAGTTGTAGAAACAGATGAGCTGACCTAGAACAGGACTGAGAATGGAACCCTGAATGATACCAACATTTAAAGGGAGGACAACAGAAGGAACATGAGCAAAAGATTAAGAAGGAGAAGGAATCAAAGGGAAAAAAAAAAAAACAGAAATGAGTCATATGCTAATTGAGGGAGGAGCAATTCTAACAAAAGGAATGCACAACCAGAAGGATGAAGCATCTGTTAGATTTGATAAAAAATGAACAAATAAAAAACTCACTGTATTGCAAAGAATAGAATAGTGATTGTGGTGAGGAAATGAAGATTTGACATTAAAATTCTTGCAAGAAGCTAGCTTCTAAAGAGGAAGGAAAAATAAGGAAATAGTTGGAGAGACACATAGGATGAAGTAAAGTTTTATCTTTTCTTTTTCTTCCCCCTTTGGATACAGGAAATCGTGATTAAATTTTTGTGGGCTAGAATTAAAAGGATAGAGGAGTTATTGAAGAGATAGGGGCAAAGGGACTAATTGATAAAGCATTGACTGTTGGGCTAAATGGAAATTCTTAGCTGGTTGGGTGCCGTCTTCCTCTCACTTCTTACTGAAGCTGCAAGCTCAAACTAAGAGAATGAGACATTTAGGGGAGAGGGTTGTTCCGGTGGCAGGGCTCACTGCAGGAGCTTCCAGGTAGCGTGGCTGTGGGGGGCATTGCAGTGCTGCCTTACTCAGGTCAGTTATATGAAGTTTTATCAGCACACTTCCCTGTCTTTAATAGTGGGTAAATGCTGGGTTGTTTCCATACCTCTTCCTTTTCACTGGAAACTTACAGCCCTACTCAAAGTTTCAAGTTAGTGGAAGTTAACAGGATGCTGACTGAAAGGTTAGGTTTACTGATTGGTACCCAACTACAGGGTGGGGTGAAAGTAATGAGTATGCAAAACACAGTTTATTCATGTATTATAACATATTTATTGTGTTATTTTCCATATGAACAACTGTAAACCTACTTTTGCCCCACCATGTTGGCTTTTATTCCCAGGAATGTTGTTACGCCTCCAGGGAAACCTGTGAGGAATTCCATCTTGGCTATCGTATTTTCTCCAGCCAGATTTAAAACACATTAGCACTTCCTTTTCTTTCTTTTTTTAAAAAAAATATATTTATTGATTTCAGAGAGGGAAGGAGAGGGACAAAGAGATAGAAACATCAATGATAAGAGTCATTGATCTGCTGCCTCCTGCATCCCACACTAGGCACACTGGGGATCGAGCCCAAAATCCGGGCATGTGCCCTTGATTGGAATTGAACTCCCCTTCAGTCCGCAGGCCGACACTCTATACCAGTGATGGTGAACCTTTTGAGCTCAGTGTGTCAAAATTTTGAAAAACCTTAACTCTGGTGCCGTGTCACATATAGAAATATTCATAATTTTTTTAATATTTGCAACCATAGTAAAAAAAGATTTATATTTTTGATATTTATTTTATATATTTAAATGCCATTTAACAAAGGAAAAATCAACCAAAAAATATGTATAAAATGAACAAACAATGTACATTATGAAACAATGTACATTATGAAAAAATAATAATAAAAACAATGATAATCAAATGGTACGAAAACTAGAAATTAGTGACCTTTTTGGTGCTGAAGTTTGTCTGCTAATTCTTCGATTGCAGGTTCATACTTGGTGCACTTCAAGGCCAAGCAAGTGCCACTAACTTCATCTGTTAGCCGGTTTCTTTTGTTCGTTTTAATATTACTTAATGCTGAGAACAAAGTCTCACAAAAATATGTTGATGAAAAAATTGTTGCCATAACCGGTTTGGCTCAGTGGATAGAGCGTCGGCCTGCAGACTGAAGGGTCCCGGGTTTGATTCTGGTCAAGGGCATGTACCTTGGTTGTGGGCACATCCCCAGTTAGGGGGTGTGCAGGAGGCAGCTGATCGATGTTTCTCTCTCATTGATGTTTCTAACTCTCCTTCTTCCTTCCTCTCTGTAAAAAAATCAATAATATATTTTTAAAAAAATTGTTAGCAAAGCCATCGCTAGATTTTTTATGTCGCTAAAAGTGTCAGGTACTCTGTTCCAAGCACTCAAAATTTCTTGTTCGTAGTTGCACTCTTCTTCATTATTCAAACGATTTCATTCCAGATTTTCAAGTTTCGACCTTAAGTCGACAAACACATGAGTCCAAATGCTACCTTGAAAATCTGCAAGTTGCATCTCTAAATCGTCAATTTGCATCCATTGGAAATCCTTTAATTCCAAAGTACTGTAAACAGCTACATCCAGATACTTAGTTATTTTTATGGTCTGTTCTCGGTTTCTAAATTGGTCGAATCTTTCGCTGAACTGTTCAAATAAGGAGTTTACTATATTCTGGTACATAAGTATGGACTCCATTACACTCATAGTGGCCTTCTCGAAACACTTTTTTATCCAAAGAAAATACAAGTTTTAGTTTCAATATCTCGCTTGAAAATTTTAAGTTTACTTTCAAAAGATTTGATGTATCCTAACATAACGTCAATACTTTTGCCAAAACCTTGTAATTTTAAGTTCATTTCATTCATATGAACAGAGAGATCTGTAAAAAACATCGAATTGCTGACCCACTTATGATCATTGATCTGAGGAAAGTTTGCCAGATCCTTATTCTCAATAAATACCGTAATTTCTTCAAAGCACTCCACATATCGCTCAAGTACTTTACCTCGACTCAGCCATCTCACATTATTGAACATCAGTTGTCCACTGTAGGTTGAATCAACTTCCTGTAAAAGTGTAGAAAATTCTCGCTTGTGAAGGGGTCGAGAAGCTATAAAATTCACAATTTTTGTTACAACTGACATTAAATCATTCAATTCTGAGGATCCCGATTTGGCACACAACACATCCTGATGGATAATGCAATGAAAAGGTACAAGTGGATGTCTAATAGCTTCCATAAACAATTTCAGGAATCCCACATTTTTCCCCACCATATTTGGTGCCCCACCTGTGTCGTGACTGACACAATTTTAGAGATATCAATGTTTAGGTCACTGAATGTTTTTATAACAACCTTACCTATTTCGTTTCCTGATGTACTTATTGGCACTGATTCTAACTTTATC